CGCGATGCTCGTCCATATATCCGTGGTTAACGATATAAACGCTGCTTCTTCACTTAGCCTTTCTTTCAGACGTTGTTTGCACGTTGCATGTTTAAGGTTGATATCAGCGGTAAATTGTTTTCTGCTTGGTAAGACATATCCTGGCTCCAAGTACTTCATTAAGTTACAAAAACCATTCCATTCAACAGTTTGAATTGGTCATAGGTCTTGAACAATCATTTGAGTCACTCTGTCTGTTATATTCTTTGCACGTGTATCATTGCACTTTGCAGGCCTTACAAATCCATCAAGGGTAGGCGTCTTCCTGCTCTCCGTTGTGGTTGTCTCGATGCCCGGACAGTAAAGAGTCGAGTGCTTCGATGCGAGGTGATTCTGTAGGCTTGTTGTCCTGCCTAAATAGGCAAATTCTTTTTTACTAAATAGTGCACATGGCTTTCCTACGGTCGTGAAGTTTCTTATAAAAACTCCATACATCCGAAACCTTTTTACAACTACTTCCAACCGCGCCCTTATCTGATGCCATTTTTTCTAATCAAAAATTGTATGCATAGCGCATGTGTATAAATAAACGTGCGAACAATCAAATGGGCACTGGCAGATCCGAAGCCTCTGTCAGCTTCAGAATATTCGAATACTTTGTCTCAGCCCTAGTATACACTAGTAACTGATATATTGTTTTCAATAGTATCAAGATGTCAAAGAAAGATAGTGTTCTTGTTTCAGAATTTTTTAACTTGTGTACTTATAAAGCTGGCTTCTAAACTCCACAACATAAAGGATATGTTATTTCTATAGACAGATGTAATTTATAGTTGATTCTCAGGTGTACAGTACTCTAGTAAGGAAATGTTGAATATTTAAAATTAATATAAAGTTTATTATAAAAAAGATGTATTTACATTCATCCTAAAGTTATGGAACCTGGTGTTAGGTCAAATAGACACAAAACATAACAGAAGGGTTGGAAATAGACATGGCATAATACAAAGAAACTCCTACAAAGAGTAAGCTACCATTAGGTAATGGGCTCATAAACACCATCTTGTAGTATTGATAGTAGAATGTAATCACTTCAGGTTCATTATTTTTATTACAGCGATGCAGAGAATGTTTTTAGGAGTGTGACATTATTTGCTGGACTTTCTTCAAAATATTTCGTACTTGTAAGACATGTTTGTTAGGTCAATTATTTACACGTTGCATGCACTTATTACTATAATTTATTCATTGTTCTTTAGGGCATGATGTTTTCATTTTTGAGTCATAAAACAATGTTTAGTCATTAGTTTGCTTTCCAAATATACTATTTTTGCACTTTGCAGCCTGTATTTATGTTGTAAAAAGTCTGTTCCTAAAATAATAAAAAAAGAGAAACAAAAATACTTTCACAGTTGACACAACTTATTAGGTGTATAATACATCAAATGTTACTACAGTATAGCTAGAGCATACATTTTGGGATTATTTGTAAAGGTCAAGCACTCGGAACTTTTTTTAAAAATACAGTATTACAATGGTGTGAAGTAAATGGGTAATTGTGTGCCTTTATATATTTATTTTTCATTATGTGTGTGTACAGCACCTCTTACTCTTAATGCTGTGTGACACTGGCAGCACAGGCCAGTATAGGTTAATTATTACAACTGTTAGGCTGAATTTAGAAAGAATTCAGTTTTCCATGTTTTAAGTAAGGTATACTCTTTCGTTACTAACCCACAAGTCACATAATCTAAAACTGCAACACCATCTTCAATCTTTTTTTCCACATTAACCTCTCTTATTCCAAACTTTCAGACTACAATCTGTTGATGTGTTGACTTGTACTTAACGTACATAAGATTAATGTGTATCTGTTTAGCAATTACCTTTTGCATCATAGGCTGAAAGTTTAAGACATGACAAAAGATAGGTCTTGACACTTCAACAGCATCGGTTTTTCTCAAAGGTCCGGTGTACTGTTTTTTGTATCTACAGTTCGAATGATGTAAAAAAGGAACACGGTACAACAGTTAAATATTCAAGTTTAAAGTTTACAATGAAATGGACACTTGCAAATAATTTATGTTTACTACATTTTATTATGTGCAACAGAATTTGTTTATCATTACAAGATTTTGTGGCAAGAGATCGTAAATACCCTCATAATAAGAGGTTTCTCGTTGTGCATTTTAAATACAAAATTCATTCATTCCATGGGAAATTCAACATTCTTGCTACAGCTTATTGGTTTATAAGTTTTACAGAATATCTAGTCTTTTAAAAAACTTGCTTCTCTACAGTTTAATTCCTTAGGATAACAGTGGATGGCCTTTAGTCAATTAACCACCAGTTGTTTTACTATTGTATACTAACTGAATGCCTGTCATATAATGATGAATGCTCATTAATTTTTCTAATTCTCAAAAATAATTTTAAATAAATGTTTTATTAACATATTTTCTAAACATAGTAACAATGTATGTATAAATAATATTCGTCCTTTTTTTTAGTATTTCAGAAAAAAAATGTGTGTATATTTGGTAATTGTTCACATTTTCAGGAAATGTAAATACAACCTCACCATGCAATTTTAACTCTGTTCCTTTCCTAAGTAACATCAGTCCTATTCAATTCACTGTCATTCATTCCTTAACTACAAAGAGAATCATGTTGCAATTGCTGGATGTATATTAAATATGAAACCTTAATTCATATGATAACACAGCTTTGTGAAGTACACTGGTTTCCAGACATGTAAGGAATATAGATACCAAGTTATAACTAGATATTCTTTGGCAAATCTGAAAAACATTTCCTTTATCTACTTAATATGTTTTTAAAGGGCATAGGTGTTCCAAATTATGTTTTAT